CGGAGGGTCCCCCCCCAGCCTGGATCCCACCCACACCGGGTGGGTTCGGCTTCAGCTCCCCCCCCGGCCTTGGAGCCAGCCGGGGCCTGCACCTGAGGCTGGGGGAGAAGGTGGCACCATCCTGCCACCCCACCCCTGGGGAGACCGTCCCTGATCCCCCAAGCCCCCTCCAGATCAAGGGCCCTTGCCCCAGCTGTCCCGGCCCTTCTTGCCCGCAGGACACAACCGACTACCTGCGCCCCGTCAGCCTCACGGTCAAGTTTGAGCTGCTGGATGCCGAGGGGGCGCCTGTGCTGGATGAGAGCTCGCCCACCACCCTCCGCAAGCTGGTGAGTGTCTGGCTGGCACTGGAGGGGGCGGTTGGGGGTGGGGTGGCAGCGACTTCTGGAAGCAACATCTCCCTGCCAGCTCAGGGTGAAGAGGGGAGGGATCCAGATGTGCTGCCAGATGTGCTGCTCCTCTAGGGAGCCCAGTGCTGGGGGACGGGCTAACGCAGCCCCATCGCCTGCCCCAGGTGCCTTTCTTCAAAGACTGCGGGGAAGACAACGAGTGCGTCACAGATCTGGTGCTCCAAGCCACCATGGACATCGCCGGCTCCAGGTGCGCTGGGCGAGGGGGCACGGGGCTCAGGCCCAGCCCTGCCCGGCGACTGCCCCAGTGGAGCTGGGCAAGACTGGAGGGTGGGAGGCAGAGGGGTTAGAAGTGTGCAAGTACTACATGGCACACGTGTGTGCGCGTGCACGTGTGTGTGTGTGTGTCTGTGTGTGCGTGCGCATGCATGTGTATGTGTGTAGATGTGTGTGTGTGTGTGTATGCATGCATGCATGCATGTGTGTACATTTGCTTACGCATGTGTGTGTGTTTGTGTGTGTGTGTGTGTGTGTGTGTGTGTGTGTGTGTAACCCTCTTCAGAGCTGGACAAGACAGGGTGTGGGGGAAGAGGGGTTGGAAGCTTGCGTGTACACATAGCTTGTGTGGGTTGTGTGTATTTTTTCAGAGTTAGGCAGTGCCAGGGGGATGTTGCAAGCACTACACAGCATGTATTTGGGTGTGTATGTGTGTTTGCGCACATCTATACATGTAAGTTGTGTGTCCTCCCCTTCAGAGCCGAGCAAGGCCAGGTGCAGGGTGGCTGTGTTTGGAAGGCTGCAATTAGTACATGGCATGTGTGTGTGTGTGCATGGGCACACAGGTACATGCATGCATGTGTGTGTGTGGGAGGGGGTTGTGTGTACTACCCTACGGAGCTAGGCAGTGCCAGGGGGATGTTGCAAGCACTTACACAACATGTGTGTATATGTGTGCATTTGTGCAAGTGTGTGTAGGTTGTGTACACTCCCCTTCGGAGCTGGGCAGGGCAGGGAGGGGGAAGGAGGTTTGGAAGCCTGCAACTACCATGTGGGATGTGTGCACGTATACATGTGCGTGTGCGTGCACATATATGTATGTGTGCACACGTGTGGGTTGTGTGTACTCCCCTTCCAAGCTGGGCAGTGCCAGGGGGATGTTGCAAGCACTTATACAGCATGTGTGTGTGTGTACACATGTGTTTGTGCCCATATCAGTGTCCTCCAGCTCAGAGCTGGGCAGCACCCTGGGGAGCTCTTGCAAGTGTGCACGTGTGACACAACCCAGTCCTTTGCCGCCCCCTCGTGCCCACTCCGTGCCTTGCCGTATGTGCAGACCCCTGTGGCCTGAACCCAGCTGGGCAGCCCAGGCCAAGCCCAGGGGGTGGCTCAAGGCCCTGGCCTGGGCACAGGGCAGGGGGGATGGGGCGGGGCCCCTCTTGGCCGTGCCCTGGAGCTGTCCTGTCCTGGGGACCGCAGGCAGGAGCCGTACATCGTGCGCAGGGGCCGGCGCAAGGTGCTGGTGGACGCAACGCTGGAGAACAAGCAGGAGAACGCCTACAACGCCAGCCTGGCCCTCGCCTTCTCCACCAACCTCCACTTCTCCAGCCTGGCGCTCAAGGCAGGTCCTCCCCGGGAGCTGGGGGGAGCCAGGGAAAGCCCTGGGCTCTACGGGGCTGTACAGACCTGCCTGCCCAGTCTGGAGCTGGGAGCACTGGTCTGTGCAGTGCTGCATGAGCCCCATATGGTGCTGGGAGGCCCTACAGGGCTGTATGAGCCCCCTGGCCTGCTCCAGAGCTGGACATGCTGGCCCATAGGGTGCTGTATGGGTCCTGCAGCCCGTTCTGGCTCTCAGAGCTGGTCCTTCAAGCCCTATATGGCCTCTCAGGCCTAGTGCACTGGTCCATATAGTCCTATATGGCCCTCCTGGGACCCCGCCCTGACCCTGGCACACCAGGGAGCTCCAGCAGCCTCTCCCCAGGGGTAGCAGGGTCATGGCCCCCAGACCCCTCCTCCCCTCAGTGGAGGCTGTCAGGGCCCTGACCCCCACCCCGTTCTCCGCAGGGGGATGCCCCCCCCAAGGTGGAGTGCATGGCCCCCGCACCCCACGCCCGCGTCTGCGCCGTCAGCTACCCTGTCTTCCGTGCCCTGGCCAAGGTGAGTGGGGGGCAAGACCGTGACACCCCACCGTGCCCCACAGCCCCGCTTAGCTAATGACCCCGGCCTGGTCCAACCCCCCCCCCCATCCGGAGCTCACAAAGGGCCCCAAGACTGCCCAATCCTGTGGGGGGGGCAGA